AGAAAGAATAAAAAATATATTACCAGGAAAAATCGAAATGATATTTGATGGGTGGACAAGCAACGGCATTTATTTTGTTAGGTTATTTGGAATTTATCAAACAGTATATGAATCTAGAAAATTAATTTTATTAGCATTTTCGCCTTTTGAAGATCATACAACTCAGGATGCAGATGCACATATTCGATTTTTTGAAGATGTTTTAGATTTATATAACAAGAGTGTTGATAACATTCTTTTTCTTTCCAGTGATAATTATAATACAACAAAAAATAGCCAATAGTTTGGGTCTTTCTCTTGTTGGGTGTGCATCACACTGTTTAAATTTAGCTATTAATGATCTAATTAATTCTTTGGCTGCTCTTGTAAACCAAATTCGTACAATTGTATGCATAATGCGAATATATAAAAATCGTGAAAAGCTTGCAAAAGTTACATCGTTAAAACCTGTATTGGATAATATAACCTGTGAGTGTTATAAAGATAGTTGAACGATGCAAGGAACTCATTCTCAATATAACCCAGGCTAATAGATTTTTAGGTCGAGATATTTTATTAGTAGAACAGTTGGATCTTAATGAAGTTAACAATTTTATTGATAAATTAAAATACTTTTCAGAAGCAACTAACAATTTACAAAACAAATCTATTAATTTAGATGTCATTTGTGCTTATTTTGATTTATTAATAGAGGAATATCCAGATCTAGAGAATCGATTAGGAAAAAATGCATCAATAATTCATGATTTCGTTTTTGAAGAGGCTATAATCAAAATCTTGCGTAAGCAAGAAACTACATTACATCAGATGAAAAACAAAAAGTCAAATCATTTATTGTTGAACCAAATGAACAATCAATAGTTAATGAAGGACCTATGACCATGAAAGAATGTGTTGCAAAGAAGCACAAGCTTGAAGAATCAAAGTACTTGGATATGAACATTATTCCTTCTACCTCCAATGCTGTGGAACATCTATTTTCAGTGGTCAAATACTATTATATGGACTGGCGAAAGTCTCTTGATCCACATACTTTGGAAAACCTGCTGCTGTTAAGAATGAATGACAAAATTTAGTCGATCCAAGATGTTCACCAAATTAAGCATTAAGGTTTCTATTACCAAAACCGATATAGTATATGATTACTATTATCGGATTTATTGTACGTAGCTCTGCATTTGAATATAATCTTTTTTTAGTTAGCATAAAATATAAAGAACATTTTTTTTTTTAGCGTTAGTTACAATTACGTTAAAATATATATGTATTTTGAACATTTTAAATTATATCATACGTAGCAATATGTAGCAGTAAAGCAAAATTGCAATTAATTGCAATTATTTGCAATTTAATTGATCTCAATTATTTTTGTGTAACAATTATGATAAACGGTAATTGTAATAAAATTGAATTGCAATTAATTTTTCGGCACCCCTGCTAATTCGGATCATTTTAAACCAACGTGCTGGTTCTTATTTACATGTAAATCATTTTTTGCCCGTATTGATTCAATAGCTTATCGAATGAACGTTTGAGTTTGCCCGATCAGAAAATGTCGAAGGGTGATTTTCCTAGCAAAGATCCCATATATCACATTACAGGGGTGGATGCTGGACATCGTCTCAAATTAGTAGAGTATGCAAAGGTCTTCCACTTCGTTCCCCTCCGCTCCAGCCCAAACATAAATTATAAAAAAATGAGCAAATAAATTCATCGATCAAAATATCAATATCACATTGAGTTATGCAATTTTGATCAAATATTTATAAGCACACATAGATTCTCTAATTTGTAAATTTAAAACTTGCCATTTAGCACAAAAGTCGGCCTCGTGATCTCAAAGCAACTTTGATTAAAGTCAACTTACGAAAGGTAATAAACTACAATAAACTTTTTTTTTAAACTATTATCACGCATAATCTGTAAATTTTTGAAACCACCGCTAATCAGTATGCTATATCGTTTATCATGGGTTGTTAGTGGTAACTTGCCATGGTAGGTTACTGATAAGTTATCATAAATTTTAATGTATTTAGTTGGTTTATGTGGTTAACACGTCAATATTTTGGTTTAGGTGTGGGAGCATGGATGAATTTTTTTTTCTTAATAATTGATGCGCGCCTGAAACTGAAAATATTGAAGCTAGAAATTAAGGACCTCGATTTTAAAATATAATCCATTTATACTCTTTTATTATCAAACTAACCCTAATTATTAACCTAATTGTAAAAAAAAAGCACACCAAAAACTTCAAAAATTTCATATTAAAATATTTAAAATTTCTAGCTTCAGCCGTTTCCAACTTTAGCCGCGGCAATTGATCCTCTACAAAAATTACATGGCTGTTTAATCGCGTTGCTAAATAACAAATAATTTTGCCATATAAATGCAGTCAGGGGAAACTTTATTTGGGGTTTCAAGTTTATAACAAGCTACCACTGAAAAATCTATTTAGTGATAAGGCCACGCAAAGTTAATTTTTTCGTTTTACATTACCGCCGACCCAAGGTTTTTTAAAAAAACTATTTTTTTTTTTTACTACAGTTTTGTTTAAAACAAGGATAATAATGCTTATTTTTATTAGTTTTCATGAATTAGTCCAAAAATGATACTCATTTAGTAGACACATAAGAATTGCTCATGTCTAGTTCAGAAAAGAATAATATCGGGACGGTAGATAATTTACATAGTAAATTAGGGTTAAACCTGAAGTCATAGATCTTAGAAATAGTCGTTATAATACCTGAACAAGTAAAATACTTAAATACCTTTGCCATTTCAAGAAAGCATCTGAAGTTAAAGACTCCGGCTACACGAAAGTTTATGAATTAGACATTAGTCTCTAATAAAAATTAATTTTGTGTGCCTAAAATAAAATGAAATTAAATTTAATTGTCCAACGATCAAGTCTGTTACAGGTTTCGCATACCAATTTCGTACAACCCTATCAAGAACGGACCGACCTACTTTTAAATATTTACTAACGCTAATTGATATTTATTACTTGGGGTGGGTACGTTATTGATAGGGGTGTACGAAATTGGTATGCGAAACCTGTAAATCATATCATTAATTGTATAAAACCCTGATCACCGTATCAAGATCATGGGGTATTAACTGATCCTTATGTGTACAAGTGGAAACTTCGTTTCTGTTATGCAATACCAAATGAATCAGGATATTATGATTTCAAAATATATAAAAATCTAGAAATCATATGTAAGTCCTTATATGATTCAATATTTTTTAATTTTATAAGAGATTTAGTTTTTGAATATGTTCAAAAATGAATCACATACGAGGCCTTAGTTGTAATACCTATTTGGAAGTATAGTTGTTGGTTATGTGAGTAATGTGGAGAATATATGAGTGTCGCTAAAAGAAAACCCGAAATTTAAATATGACTTATATTTAAATTTTCGGGTTTTCTTTTAGCGACACTCATATATAGAATACTAATAAGGATGATCAAATGTGAAAAATCCTGGATGAGTTCTAAAAACAGGTTAGACTCTACTAGGCAAAGTTTACCTCGAGGATAAAATAGTCCTAAATCTGTAAGTCTGTAAGTCTGTAATTTATCTCAATAGAGTGATGTGGTAACACCAATATAATTTGATAATTAAAGATTACGTGACCAAGAGGTCACTTTCAAAAAAAAAAGGAATCATACGTACTTTCGTACGTACGTATGTACATAGACTATTACTTTTTTTTTTGTTTGCACCACCTTGTAAAAAATCTCCTGGCAAAGCCACGGGTAAATAAGCTAGTCAAATAATTCACAAGTTAGTACAATTTTTTAGTGGAGATTCTATAAAGCTATGTTTTTGATGCATCAAAAGTTATGACTTAGAATGAAATCAAAAATGTAATTTTTGCCTATGCGCACTATATCTATATTCGTATAAATTACTTGATGCTTACATAATACAATGATCATCATATGATTTGTCATTGTATGCTTTAATGGCTAATAATATTAATGGAAAACTTTAATTATGAAAATCCTATACGTATATTGCTAAATGTTATGCAAGATTTTTTAGTAAATTATATTCTATTGCGTATGAATATGTGCTTCGTTTGAATTTCGTAATATGATGGATTCGAGGATGATTTCTTCAATAATCATCATACCATCGGATAGTTAAAAGACGCATGCTTAATTCTTTGAAATTTGAATATGAATTCACTCTAATGACGTTATATTATATGCCAAATCAAAGTTTGCGTCAGATCAAAATTTAAATACTGACCTTCATTAGGATTAGGGAGAAATCTATACGTAGTAAGGTTGTAGTAGATGTTTGCGATATTATAATAATTTGAACCTGGCACATATATTATAGCTATTCATCAGACCTTGCTCATTTAGCATTTTAATATTTCATATTAAAGCTATCAGATTTTATCTTTGCATTATATTGATTAATTTTAATTTATATATGTACTTTTAAATATATGTTTTATTTATTAAAAGTTTATTATTGCAAAAGATAATCTTTTTATTCGAAAAAAAAGGTATTATAGTTGTCATAGTTCATTATTTTAGATTTAGTATAACGGTCGATCTGTAGGTTTTACTGTATTGAGTTATATTGCTAGCACATCATTTGAAGTTTATCCGATATTATAAATTAGTTGTAAACCTTCTAAAGGCGACTAAATAGTTAAAACAAGGTTAAAAAAAATAAACTCAACGATGGTCAAAAAAAATATTAAAATCGCAACATTGCACGTTGAAATACTCAATGACATAGAAAAATGTCAGGAAACCTTACAACTGCTCAAGCGGTTTAAACTTGATTTAAAATTAGATGTAATTAATTTACAGGGAATAAGATTATCTCAGCAGAATATAGAGTACGTTGAGGAGTCCCTATGGGGTTATGATTCATTATGGTCATCAGAAACGGCAATTCTAGCCGGAAATGAAAACGTCCGTTTTGAAGACATAGAAGAAATTGAATACGGACTCACCACTAGTGTCCTATACTATGACAGAACTTATCAAATAACAAACATATACGTCCCTTGCGACACTGATACAGTAGATTTTTTAACGTGGATCCCATACGGAATATACAAAAAAGATAATACTGTCAATGTAATAGTCGGCGAGTTTAATATAAACTCAAGCTCACTCTATAGTGAAGCGATGTCTGATTTTACTGACATTGTGGATATATTTGGTGAATCGTTTTTTCAGGACGTGCCAAAAAATTGTATCTTGGTGGATAATGATTACACCCACTTTTGCCAAAGTGTTGAGAAATTTACCTCACACAAACATATAAAACCTCTGGTGGTATGCACTCTCGATCCATTCAAATGGACATTATATAAAAATTTGCTCGAAGATTCTGAAATTCAGAGAAAGATTATAGATAAAATGGTTAATGTCAATACAGTTTTTGATTGGGACCTCCGTAAAAAAGATTTTCAATCTATATTTCGCAAACAAAGTCGAAGAAGAAAATACTCAACTTCCGAATCAAACCCTTTAGATATCAAGGATGATTTTGCTTGTTTAGATGAAAAATTACGGGAGAGTTTAGTTAATGCTGGGTGGGCTGAGACTGATAAAAGGGCAACTTCAACAATTCGAAATCCATCGGCACCTACCTCTAAAAAACCTAAAGACATTCTAATTTACGTAAGAAATTTCTATCAAGAACTTTATAAAAACGATATAATTGACTTAAAGATTGCAAACGAAATAACCAATGGTTTAAAAAAAGTAACTGAAGAACAGAATAATTCATTGATAAAAGAATTTACTTGTGAGGAAATTTCTAAAATAATAACAAAACTTGAAAATAAAAAAGGCCCAGGAATCGACGGTTTACCATTTGAATTTTATAAAAAATTTCAAGAAAAACTGGTTCCTATTTTGAGAAAAATTTTTAATCTTATTTTAAAAACCGGTGAATTCCCTCCTTCATGGCTTAAAAGCGTCATAATATTACTTCCAAAAAAATCTAATGACTTAACTGATGTCTCGAACTGGAGACCGATCGCACTAATAAATTGTGATGCTAAAATTTTTACAAAAATAATGTCGAATAGACTAAATGAAATATGTAAAGACTTAATAGGGAGTCATCAATATGGTTTTGTATCCGGTAGAACCACTTACGACGCAGCTCTAAATGTAATCTCTACTATGCGAGGGATACAAAGGCAAAAGAATTTAGCAAAGGAGGCCTGGTTACTGTTTATAGATCAAAAAAAGGCATTTGATAGGGTAAACCACTCATTCCTTTTATTAACACTTGAAAAAATGGGATTTAGCCAAGTGTTTAGAAATCTATTGAAAAATCTTCTCTCGAATCTATCCTCTCAGATTTCTGATTCTGGTGTCCTCTCCGCACCCTTTAAAATAGGAAGAGGTGTCAGACAGGGCGACCCAATCTCTCCATTATTATACGTTTTATCATTTGAGCCCTTCTTAACATTATTGGTAAATAATCTAAATGGGGTTGAAATAAATAATTTTAGATTTAAGGCTTCAGCTTTCGCTGATGATTTAGCAATTGGGCTAGGATGTTATTATGATTGGGAAATGTTGTATGCCTTATTAACAAAATATGAAAAGGCCTCAAATGCGGAAGTAAATAAATCAAAATCTGCACTTGTTCCGTTAACGGTTGAAGCATTGCACACCAAGTTACCAGGTGACGAAGTTTATAAACTTCTTGTAGGAAATGAAACCACTAAACTATTAGGTTTTACTATTGATGGAAAGGGACAATTGGAAGAAAATTTTTGGGAAAAAATGGCTGAGAACATTAAAAAAACCATGCAAACAATAGATGAGCATGAATTTTCTCCTGATGATAAGATGCGTATTGTACGTATCACAAAGTCTCATCTTTTATCTAAAATTTGGTATACCGCTTATCTCTTACCTCCCACCACCAGCCAATTTAATAGATTAAATGATTTAATAATAAATTGGATTCAGGATAAACTTCCTCCTGAGTCAAATGACCTAGATTTTATGAATATCAAAGATATGCTAGATGCTAGGTTAGGAATGATCTGGTTAAAGCTACTAACGAGTAACGATTTATGGGCAAAAATAGAAAGGGATTTTATTGAAAAAGAATTAAAAAAACGCAATATTTCTGTAAAAACCGCTTTGCATCAGTCAACCGAACCTAATGTATGGCCTTTGGAATGGATGTCACATTTTGCGGCCTGGAAGAGGCTAGACGGAAAAATTCTCTCTACAGATTCCTGGCCGTGGGAATCAAATAAAATTGAAATAGCGAATCGCAGTGCAAAGGATTATTCTGTAGCGGCTGGAATTGAGTATTTATGGGCTGATTATGGTACATGGTCTATATTATATCATGATTATGCATGGGATATTGTAGAGGTGCAGACACAATTCTAATTAAGTGTTGACCTTATTACGTAATATATCTGCACCTCTAATATAATGGTAATGATATAAATGTCTCATTTATTTATCATTATTATTATTATTATTTATTCATTATATAATTATATTTATCATATTTATTAGTAAGGTCAGGCCAATTTAATTTTCTGTTTAACATAATCCTCCTTCAATTTTTTAAAAAATCGTATATAAAAAACATTTTAACCAATCAAATTGCAGTATTAGTTTTTTTATATTTTTACAGCCAATAAAATTTTTTTTTTTTTTTATACCCCTCCCCCACTCTTATGAGTTATGTTAAACAGAAAATCAATTGTAAGTGGTCTAAGTGGTTATCATATATTCAGTTAATCAGCAAATCAGAATCATGAAAGTAGGAGGATAGCTTTTTTACGTGATATTAGTGTTAGTAATCTCTTGCTTTCGTAAAAACAATGTGCTCTCCATTTTGTTCTGGAAAATTATGCCATATAAAATTATTTACTTGGTTTTTATAATACGTATAAGATTTCAAACAATATTTAGCAAGCTAGCTTTTTTGCTTTTTCAAATTTTATATACAAAAAATTTAAATGCATGAAAAATTTTTTCATTTTTAAATTTAACCTAACTGGATTATAAAAACCAATTCATTAATTTTTTATATTTTTATTATATCTTTATTATTCTTATTATGGTTATATTTTACTAGCGTATAAACTACGGGAACAGTTTTTTTTAATTAGTTATCAGATCTAAAATATTTTAACAGGTGTTAAATAAACTATACATTATAAAACGAACTCCAGTTATTAAAATTATAAACACATTATTAAATTTTACTGAAATAATGAACACGCTTCACTGTTAAAACAGGACCCACTATTGAAATTATGAACTGCTGGAAATATTATTTACTACTAAGTTATGAAACCATTAATTATTAAAACCATTAATTATTAACACCCATTGTTAAAAGTACGGACCCATCCATCATCGAATCCATTGTTGAAATCTCAACTGTTAAAATTATGAACTACTCATTATTGAAATTATAAACCCACTATTGTGACGAACATATCTATTAAAATTACAAAACCATTCATTGTTAGAGTCACAAATCGACCAAGATTTAAATTTAGGTACTTACCTACAAATAAATTTTATATCTACTAATGAAACCACGAATATACAATAATCCCACCCACCACTGAAGTCACGAATATACATTACCGAAGTCATTAACCCACTGCTAAAATCATGCATATATATAATTAATCAATCCATTAAACCCACTACACAAACCATGAACTCACCTACTACCATGTTAAAATCATAAATCCGTTGAAATGTCGAATTTACTAACCCAGCCACAATTAAAAGTATGAACCTATACATTGTTTAATTATAAACCATC